ACAACAAATTAACAAAGCAACTTCTCAAACACACTTAACTTAGTCTTAAACACACAATGACAATCTTCTACAACCAACCAAGCAACTTTGAATTCCCAATTGAATTCTTCATTGAGGAGGTTGCACCAAGAAAACACGTTAATACAGCACCTTCGACGTCTAAACCACGCCTTGATTTGTTAGAATATGAAAATTCATATGAAGCAAGATTGAACCTTGCAGGATACAAGAAGGAGGAATTGGATATATCAATACATGACCATAAAATAACTGTGAAGGCTACTCATCCAGCTGAAGAAGACAAAGATAACGGATTCAGCTACTTGATCAATGAGAGTCGGTCATCATCGATCGCTAGCCGGACATGGAAACTGCCAGAACATGTCACAGAAGACAATATCCATGCTTCCTACACTGATGGATTACTCACTCTGAGATATTCAAGACACGCACCTGAATCTGAACCAAAGAGGATCAATATCAATTAATTTTTGAAAGAATCCATGAAACCTTAAAGAATGACAGTTACAAATAATGTATTAAGTGATACAATTAATAAATATACATATATACAATTTCCGACTTCATTGATGCCTGGAGTGACTAATTATTTCCACCAAACATCTCTTTGAAGATCACGCAAGCGCTGATTGTGGTGATAGTCATCACTGTGCTTGCGTTTACGATTTGTGAACACCTTTGTGCCGAGATCAATAGTGGTGACTTGTCGTGTTTCACCATTTTGGAGGTATTCCAATTGGGCTATTTTAGCTGATAATGCATCAGCAAAATCTTTCAAAGATGCATAGCTGTTAATAACATCTTCGAGCTGCTTCAATTTCATATGGTGTGTTTGCCATGACGACATCTTGACTGATTTGCGCGTGGTTTTGTGGATTTCGAATGAAGTAAAAGAACTACTCTTGATTAGACCCGCATTGGATGCCATATTTAATATTATATTATTTGCTAATGACCGTTTTGTTGGAAAGTAAATATTCCTAAAACGCGTAATATCACGGCCATTACACCGTGATCATTTTTGGGAAAACGAATGAATTTATATTTCCTCAACATTTTACTTATGCGGTCAACCTAAATATGATTGATTCTAGAAATTACAAGAATAGGCATAAGTCCTTAAAGATATCTATTTGATTTAGTACTTAAATGTGCTGTAGATCCGGTAATAATAAAGTATTCCTCAAGCAGCTACTTCTATATGCTTTGATATATTCGCTTTTTCATCTCTAACTTGATGACGAAGGTCTGTAGTTTCACGTTCACCTGCCAGTAATTGAGCGAACTTGCTCCTCTTTCTTACCTCCGGTCCATAGAAATAAAGGAGGTGAATTGGAACAATGAGGGCTATAGCTATACATGCCAGTATAGTTGTTGGGTACTCTAAGGTATACTTTGGGAAATGCTCATAGAATGGATTTGAAAACATCGCTGCGACACCAGACAAGAAATCTCTCGCGAGGGCATTTCCACCTGTTGCTGATGCTGAATATGGACCTTAAATTCATGTCAGTCGTGTTTAGCAATTCTAATGAATCAAACCAACCATATGCTGCAACCATGTAGTCAATCGTAGCCATATAGATGGCATAATTTGCGATACCAATCAAGGCCGCGAAAAAGATAGGACCAAACCAGTGATTGTGGTCAGGACCCATACTTGTCCATGCGAATCCAAACAGTCCAATAGCCTCAAGCGGTGCTAAGTATAACAGCCAATAAAGGCGATCTTCAGGCGAGACATACAAACCACGTTTCCTCCTCTTCTCCGCTGATCTGAAAAAGGGAAGGAAAGATGCCCATGCAATGAAGTAACTGACCAAGATTGAAAGGAAGCACAATCCAGTTTGCCATGGTGTGAATCCCCATTGGGAGAATACTGTAGATGTGAATAAAGCAACTTCAAAGGAGTCTACTCACCAGGCGTAAATGAATCCAAGAAAATGAAGATAAGCATATCACTAAACCCTGATAACATTGAACACGAAAGTACAATTGGTTCTCGTACAAACATCTCGAATGGTCTGTACCAAATAGTGAGAACCTCCTTGACGGATATACCCTCCGAAACTTCAGAAGGTCCCCAAATGTTCAACTCTTTTCCTTCCTTAGCTGCTTCTTTGCGCCTCCTCTTTGCTTCTCTGTCAAGCAAGATAGTTGTTCCTGTTGAAATAAGTTACGCTCGTAGATCAATAACAACGCACTTGTTTCTGGAATAGACCAATGCAAGAGCTGTGCAAATCCACCAAATATCAGCTGGGTCCAGAAAATCCATCTAGTAGGCGTCAATGTTGTAAAGTTGAGTTTAACAATTGAATTTACCTCCATGATGGTCCCGGTTGTGCAAAGACACGAATAAATCCACCAAGGATGGGTCCCAAAGTGGCAGCTGCTACACTACTCCAACTGTATTCTGGATGAGAAGCTTTTCACCTAAACTTACGTTCAATCACTTACACAACATAAGCCAATCCATATTGTTGTGCTTCAACCGAAAACATATCTGCTACCATTGCCAAAGTTACGCTACCGCCAGCCATTGATAAACCGGCAAGACCACGTCCTACAATCATACTTCCCTTTATTGTTGTTAGTTTACAGTATTCCATTGTCATTAGAGCATTTACGTACAATGTTGGGAGCGAGACATTGTAATAAAGTCCAACAGTTGGTAAGAAAGAGAGACAACTGAAGTATTGGCCATCTTCCAAACTCTTCAGACCATCTTTTGATTGTCAGCTGTATTTGAATGACCATTCTTCACATACGGAGCCCATAATTCACAACCTTAGGTAGATATTAGAATTCGCAAGCTTTTCTTGTGGGAAAACTCACCGAAAGCATAGGTGATAAGGAGTATCATTTGCCCTGTTCTAGCAGCTTGTTCTGATATGCTAAAGCTTTCAGACATCCCACTAACACTGTTAGCATAAACAGCTCCATTATAGTTCATTGATAATTGAATGATAACAATTACAGTCAATATAGTCCATTTTTTCCTCCGAGAGAATGCAAATCCTGTAACTTCTGGTGCAGCATCCTCAGTTAATACTATCTTACCACTTCCTGTCTTCTTTTCAAAATACATTTCGTTAGGAGTATCACCATAATTGCTGCCGATAGTCTTTCCTGACTGATCAGAGCCATCTCCGATGTCTTGAAATCGCTTCACTTGTTTTTCATTCATTATTTGAACAAATTTGTTGACAGTTCTATTCAGCTTAATTAAGTGCGGAGTTCCTCATCTATTTATAATCGCAATTCTTTCATGCTGTTATTCAGGGCAGCTTTTTCTCCGGACCGGTAGATTAAATTGTGGGGCTCAAACTTTTATTGACCATCCATATAGTGCAAACCGCGAAGAATTTGTGTACTTGCGGAACTCCGGGGAAAAAGAAAAGACACAACAGTTTATAGTTTGGCAGCCATGACGTAAGACGCAAACTTTCTCTCCCTTTAGCATCGTATTACATCGTATTAAGTCAAGTGATTGAGCAATACATGTGTTAATTCGCTTATCCCAAACGTAAATGTAAATGTTGAAACTTCGGTGATACTTCGGTGATATGATCTGATATGCACGAATAATTTGTTATGAATCAATCATTAAAGCTTATAAGGAGATACTAGAATTCAAACCGAATCAAGATTTCAATCGCCTGGTTAATTTTCCATTCATGTGAGCCTCCGAATATCTAGGAGGTGACGTTATACCTGAAAATTGAGTTTCTTACATAATATTGAAGATATTAGCAATTGTGAATTTATTTGAGTACGTTAATTCGTATTTGAGCGGTCGTATAGTCTGCACTTGGAGCCCAATCGTTGGATAGTCTTCTATCACATTCTAGAGAAGTGAAGAGGGTGAATCTACCAGAAGTCTCTAGGAAATGTAGATGACTATATAAGCTGAGGTTGTATCTCAACTGTATACCATCAACAACAAACTAACAAAGCAACTTCTCAAACACACTTAACTTAGTCTTAAACACACAATGACAATCTTCTACAACCAACCAAGCAACTTTGAATTCCCAATTGAATTCTTCATTGAGGAGGTTGCACCAAGAAAACACGTTAATACAGCACCTTCGACGTCTAAACCACGCCTTGATTTGTTAGAATATGAAAATTCATATGAAGCAAGATTGAACCTTGCAGGATACAAGAAGGAGGAATTGGATATATCAATACATGACCATAAAATAACTGTGAAGGCTACTCATCCAGCTGAAGAAGACAAAGATAACGGATTCAGCTACTTGATCAATGAGAGTCGGTCATCATCGATCGCTAGCCGGACATGGAAACTCCCAGAGCATGTCACAGAAGACAATATCCATGCTTCCTAC